ACCTGAAACCAGAAAAGAATACCTCCTCTGACTACTCATTCATCCTAGTACAGAAAGTTCCAGCCAGAGCAAATAGAAAACAGAAATAATCAGGGCATCCTGATTGGAAAAGAGGAAGTCAAATTACCCATTTGCAATGATATTTTTTAGAGTTTATTTTTAGCTGACACAAAGATCTATATGTATGGGGTGTAGTTAAAATTGATGTGCAGTGATCAAATGAGGGTTGCTAGCACTTCCTTCCCCTTAAACATTTATACTTTCCTTGCATGTTAAGGCAAAATATCTATTAAGCACCTTTGTTCAAGGCAGGGAGTCCCTGCCCTTGTGCAATTTCTATTCTGTTATGGACTGAATGTGTCTGTCTCCTCTAAAATTCTTATGTGGAAGTCCTAACTCCCAATGAAATCACTTAACCATTCTAAGCCCCAACTGCATGATTGTAGAATAAGGTTCTTAATAGCATGAACACAAAGAATGGCCTGTAATAAAAATTGAAATGAATTTTGTAAGTCACTAATCTTAGGACAATGTGCATAAAATAATCTAAAGATATCTTTTTGAATTACCAAATGCTGAATAAATATATGACCAAATGATAGATCATGTTATAAACATGATATTTTTGCTTGTTTTGGAGGGAGATTTCACAAAGCCAAGGATTGCAGAAGTCATGGTTTTGTGTTTAGGGATCACAGTTAACTCCCTAGTTGAAGAGAGGAGTAAGAAAGTGAATAGAGATATCAGGCTTGGTAGTCCCCATACGTGTCACAAGGGTTTAGGGACCCAGGTTACCTAGTCAAGACAGCATCATCCAAATTAGACCTTAGAGAAAATGTCAAGTCAGGGCTGAAATTGGTGTTAGGATTTTAGCTCTCTGGAAGGCAGAAGAGTTCGTGGAGAATCATAATAAAGCCTGATCCCCCCTGAGATATAATTTGTTTGTCTTGAGAACACAGCATAGGCAAGAAAAATCCCACAGGGAAATAATGTGCTCAGGGTTGGAACAAGAGAGAAATGTGCCTAATGAGCAGACACACGGAGCTGTAAATATCGCCCCTTCCTTTGTCCCTTGTCATGTGTGACCTTGTTCTGGATGGGAGGTGGCTGTTTGTCTTGGAGTCCTGTATTGGGCTCTGGAACTGCTGCTTGAACCCTCCCTGCTGTCTTGTCCATCCATATGGCTTCAGGCTCCACGGCCAACCATGCAGGGAGGAATTTGAATTTCCACACAGTTAGTGACAAATTCCATTGAGTAAACACATCCAGGTGAGTCTTGGCTCCCAGAAGGTGCTGTAGGAAGATGCTAAGAGACTGGAAGCCAAGAATGTTTACCTAAAGTTGCTGAGAGCCAGCCCAGCCCAGCACTGAGAGGCTGGGGTGGTTGCTTACTGGTTTGTCTGATTAACTGGTTGATGTATTTATTCACCATGCAAAACAGAGTGAGCCCTGAACTCAGCAATGTGAAGACAGTGAGGTGATGGCCCCAGAAGACGTGTTAGAAGTAGGAATGAGTGGACTGAAGTGATTTTCAGTGTAAGTAAAGCATATGTCCATTAGGTGGAAAAGAGGAGAGTGCACTACCTGTAGAGAGAGAGTTTAGCGAAGGCACTTTCATCTCTGTGATGGGGCATCATTTTGATTGGCATGTGATTATCACCTGCCCGTTTTTACAGTTACCAGAATTTCAATGGAATTTTCCTGTCTGGTGTTGTTCTTTTGTCTTTGAGAGTGATAGATTTCAGCCATAATCATTTTTAAAATTTTATTTAGTGACAAATTCCTATCATCTATTTCTGAGTTTCTTGACTTGTACAAGATGATTTTAAACTTTATGTATAGTGTTCTTGGTGTCCCTCTAACCTGTGCTCTTTAATTTCATATTGTAGTCTTCAATTCCTCTGAAATTTTTTAAAGTATGTGAGGTAATGGACCAAACACTTTTTCTTCCAGCTCGTTTATGCCAACTTTCATTCAACTAGTCAAGCTTTTCCAACAAAATTGAAATATAATCTTATCCTGTGCTGAATGTTCTTATACACAGAGGCAGGATTCCTTGTTCATTCAACAAAGATCAACTGAATTCTGTACATGCCTCAATATTCAGAGAATATTCTATTATATTCTCTTATGTTTAGCTCTTCACCAATATAACTTTACATCTATCATGACAGCATTAAAATGTTGGTTTTATAGATCTTTTTTCCCTTGATGCTGCACTCAATTTTGTTTAATTCAGTTGTTTTTAAAACTACTAAATTTAACCTGGTTTTATTCTCCTGACATGCATTTTATTTCACAACTCTGCCTCTCCTTTTGTTTTGTTGAAGATAATGCAGACATATCCACATATGGCTGTAAAAAGAAAGAGGTGAACCAAGCAGGTAAGTCTCATTTCAACCTTGCATCCAAATGTCCAGACAGAGTCCAGTGTGGTCAATGTGTGTGTGATGGAATGCCGTCAGCAGGACACACAGGCAGGATTGGACTCCATGCCGAAGGACAGACTCCTTGTAGTGTGTGTGTGTGTGTGGGGGGGGGTTATAGACTGTCATCTGGGGCAGCCTTGGTCAGGTGAAGGTCAACCAGGACTAGGCGGGCCCACTGGATTTGCTCAGAGTTCAAAACTGAAAGCCAAGGAATAATTCAGAAAAGATTTCACATGAGAAAATGGAAGGGAGGGGCGCTTCTGCCTCACGGGCTACTGTCCAACTGGAGTCGTTCTGGGTCTGGCTTAATTCACAGATCAACAAATACCGATTGGTTTTCACTGTGAGATCTAAAGAGTTGATCTCATAGAAGGAGAGAATAGAATCATCATTTCCAGAGATTGGGGAGAGGAAGGATACAAAAAAGGGGAGTCTGAGCAGCCAGGAGAAATAAATTTGGCAATTTTATCACATAGTTAACAATGATACATTGTATATCTCCAAACAGCTACAAGAGAGGGTTTTGAATAATCTAAGCACAATGAAATTGCAACTGTTTGATGTGGTGGATATACACATGGCCCTGAATTGATTGTTACAGGATGTGTACATATATTGGAACTTCACTTTTTACCCCATGAACTTCTGTAATTATTATGTGTCAATGAAAGTTGAAATGAAATACAAACACCCCAATTAGTCAACTCAATATCTAATGGCACAGGAAAACATGTCCTCTACTATTTCATACAAAAACTGCACATTTGTTGTTCTTCATGCATTTCTTTTCTGTTATTTGACCAGATTTTCTGTATTTCCTCCTTTCTCTCTTCTTGCTATGCTGGGATTGAACCCAGGCTGTCACGCAGGTGAATCAAGTGCTCCATCACTGAGCTTCATCTGATGCCTGATGTGTTTTGTTCTGTTTTGGTATTTCTCTATGAAGCAAGCCAAAGACCCCCACGCAGGAGACCCTTACCATAATTAAGCAGAAACTCCCACCATATTTGTGACATGTAAGTTCCTCTTCTTTTCAGAAAGCTTCTTACACAGGATGTCAGGGAAAACTTCTGTATGCAGAGGATATTGTGCTTAATAATTTCCTCTTTTTGTAAATACCAGGTTTGCAGGAAAAAAAACTTGTGGGACCTCTGGTCTAGAGGATGGAACAAAAGCACTTGTCATTCAAAACGTCCAAGACCCTCATCCCACTTGGAATAAAGTTCAAAGAATTTCCAAAATCTTTGTCCAGAGAATGTTTTAGGCAAGAGCCCTCTAATGACTATGGCAGTCAATAAACCTGCTTCCTGAAAATTCCTTGGCTGGCCATGTACTCCTTCCTGCTACTCTGTCCTTTGTGGATATCTGCTTAATCTCCACCATCATCCTAAAGATGCTGGTGAACCTCCAGACACAGATCAAGTCATTACCTTTGAAGGCTGCATCATACAGATTTATATGTTTTTTACTTTATTTGTAGTGTTGAACAACTTTCTCTGACCCACATCATCTAAACACAGAGTAGAAAATAGCTCTAGCAAAAGGAAGCTCAAATAGGTCAGGTGTTGGGGATATTCACAAGCTGGAACTTTAGGGTACCTTTTGCACACCTATGTAAAGAAAGGTGATTTGATATCAACAGCTTAAACAAGGCCCATTCCTTTCTAATAATGTGACTGGGAGTGAGAAGAACAAAGTATGTTGTGTGTTTAAAGCAGGGTGGTGTGTGTATGTGTGTGTGTTCATGTGTGTTTGTTCTTAGGGCTCAGAAGAGGTTTGACCAAGAGGGACCTGGGCTCAGTATTCTTGCAAGGGGCAGATGAGTTACACCACAAAACAACAACATCTGAGTCTCATGCTGTCCTGAACCTCAACAGCACCGAGACCCCCTCTGTTCTTCATTATTCTCTGACACCCACTCACGTCCCTCTCCCTCTTGCTCATCCTGCTCATCACACTGGCTGCCACTGACCCTGAACATCTGAATCCAGCACCTCCCCCGGGGCCTTCGCCTGCGTACCCCTCTTACAAGGCACACATTTCTGCACACTGTCTTCCTAGGGGTTTCTTTGCAAGTGTCGCCTCTTGTCTTGCCTGAAGCTCCAGGACAAAACAATGCTCCTTCTCTCTCTCCTTCAAACATGCTTTTGATTTTCCCTCATAGTAACTATTAATGCATGACACGTCACACGAGGGTTTCCTTTCCCTATTTACCTTTGCTCTCCTTGGCTTGTATTGCTCCTCCCTTTTTAGATTTAAGAACCCTTCTTTTTTTCAGCACTGATCATTGACTGTTGGAACAGTGCCTGCAACGTGATCATCACTACATTTTATTTCTCAAATGCACCAAAGAAATTCAAATACATAACCTCTTGGGGGAAAAGCTGAGAGTCAGACGATTGTTCCAGTTCAGAGAGGACAAGGGTCCTGTGAAGGAGAGCAGAGTCACACAGAGAACAGAAATTTACATCTTGCCTATAGAACATGAAGGACAGCATTTCTTCCAGGTTCGAATTGCATAACTGTGTCATGTCCATTTTTTTTTCTTTTCTTATTAGTTTCATCAACCAAATGGGTCCAGAGAATGACACACAACTTTCAGAATTCCTTCTGCTGGGATTTTCAGAGGACCCAGAACTGCAGCCCCTCATCTTTGGCCTTTTCCTCTCCATGTACCTGGTCACTGTGCTGGGGAACCTGCTCATCATCCTGGTCACCATCTCAGACTCCCACCTGCACACGCCCATGTACTTCTTCCTCTCCAATCTGTCCTTTTCTGACATCTGCTTCACCTCCACCATCATCCCCAAGATGCTGGTGAACATCCAGACACAGAGCAAGGCCATTACCTACGCAGGTTGCATCACTCAGATTTATTTTTTTACATTATTTGTAGTGTTGGACAACTTCCTCCTGGCTGTGATGGCCTATGACCGCTTTGTGGCCATCTGTCACCCCCTGAACTACACAGTTATCATGAACCCCCATCTCTGTGGCTTGCTGGTGCTGGCATCCTGGATCATGAGTGCCCTGAATTCCTTATTACAAAGCTTGATGGTGTTGCGGTTGTCCTTTTGTTCAAACTTGGAAATCCCCCACTTTTTCTGTGAAATTATCCAGGTGGTCCACCTTGCCTGCTCTGACACCTTTCTTAATGATCTGGTGATGTACCTGGCAGCTGTGCTGCTGGCTGGCTGTGCCTTTGCCGGTATCCTTTACTCTTACTCCAAGATAGTGTCCTCCATCCGTGCAATCTCATCAGCTCAGGGCAAGTACAGAGCCTTCTCCACCTGTGCATCTCACCTCTCTGTGGTCTCCTTATTCTATGGCACAGGCCTTGGTGTGTATCTTAGCTCTACTGTCACACAAAACTCACACTCCAATGCAGCAGCATCCGTGATGTACAGTGTGGTCACCCCCATGTTGAACCCCTTCATCTACAGTTTGAGGAATAAAGACATCAAGAGCGCTCTGATGAGACTCATTGAAAGGGTGACAATAAAAGGGACATTTGGCCCAGGGCTGGACAAATGCCCATAGTTGAAGGTCAAAGACTCAGAGACAGTAATTGTGATTCTTTGATCAAATTATAGAAGTAGAATTCATCCTTTCTATTTGGCTGTGGAAATTTATGCTCTTTAACTAATTTCAAATTAAATTTAGTTAATTTCCTGTATGCAACATAAATAAATTTCTTATGAAGTGTTGCCTCTCCCTAGTAGCCTAGATATTTCCCTTTGTCATTTTTCTACTTCTCAAAATTTCCCATAATATCATTATAAATATTTATATTTTTGTATGTCATGGGTTAACCTGTATTTCTTAAGAATAATGTCTTCACAAGTGGCATATATCATACCAAGATTTTTTTAGTTGTTTTAATTTTAGAGAGTCATGAGTTTTATTTACTCCTATCAGGAAAACACACTTAGCAACTAAGGCTATTTCTGAAATTTATGGAAATGTCTATTATTCCTTTGATGACCACTGCTTTAACTTCCCTTTTAAGGAATATAAATTTTAACATCCTAGCAGGTTTTAGAAATGGCCATTGGGTTTTGTTCTTCCCATAGGATGATGGTTTGTTTTTAACTCACTGTCCACAGTGTCAACAATCTTCACTGGTAAAAATTAATTATCAAGGTCTGACTCTAGTGGGATTCTATGGGTAAAGACAAATCTGAACAAATAAGTTGAATCCTTGTAGACTTAACGTCAGAGATGAATGCAATGAAGCAAATTTCAAGTCATGCACTGTATTACTCTGTGAAAGATTTATTTTGCAAGCTGTACATTGACTCACTGATGCTTGAAAGATTGGCATTTCTGTGGAAAGGGGTTTGTTCATTGGAATGAAAGGCAGGTGGCATCTTTTATGGGGTTTTTTTGGTACTGGGGCTTGAACCCAGGGGCACTTAGCCACTGAATCATATCCCCATTATATCCCCACCCCTTTTTAATTTTTATCTTGAGTCAAGATCTCACTAGGTTGCTGAGGTTGGTCTCAAACTTGCAATCCTCCTGCCTCAGCCTCTTGAGTCACTGGGAATATAGGCATGCATCTCCATGCCCAACTATCTTTTATGTTTTATTATTAATTTACCTATTTCTTCTTGAACACTTTCGATGCTGCCTACAAATGTGACTCCTTCCATTGCACCAAATTGTATATTTCACTTTCCTAAATTTTATTGCAATCATTAAAAGATGAGATAAAGAACAACATCATCCATTATCAACCTTCTTTATTCTCAGTATTTCCTTTAGTCTTCATGGTCACAGAATGGCTCAAAAAAAGTGCCCCAGTTCCTGCCCAGTCCTGTAAATCAGGGCCCCACATTTTTTCTGCACACACCTACTGGTTGCTCTGCAGGGGATCTCAGTGTAGTCACTTTATTAAAAATATTTTTTTAATTATAGGTAGACACAATACCTTTATTTCATTTATTTATTTTTATGTGGTGTGGAATATTGAACCCAGTGCCTCACACTTGCCAGACAAGTGAGCCATAACCCCAGTAATCACTTTTTAATACAGTTATCTGAAGTATACTTGGAAGGCAGAGAAGTTGTGAATGATGTCTTCACATATTAGAAGCAATGCCAGAGCAAGTAGCAGAAGACAATTACCAAGGGTTTCTTCTGTTTGATTATGTTATGGCTTCAGTTTCACCCCCTTAACTACACAGCTATCAGCTACTGCCACACATCCACCCCTCATAAAACGAAGTGCTTCAGTACAATGCCATCGTGATTGAATGGAACCATGTGCTGGAGAAAAGTCCTAAAGGCTGACAACGATTTGGACCAACAGGGACCTCTATTTATTACTAATTACCTGAACTCAAATACTATAGTGGTTTTATTCATAAATTTCTGAACTTGGAAGCAGACGAAATGCCTTTCATAGGTAAATGGATAATCAAACTGGGGTGCATCCATACACTGGAAAAGTCATTCTTCAGAAATAGAAAGAAATGAGCTCTTGAGTCTCAGAAAGAACTGGGGGAATCTTAAATTTTCATTGCTAAGGAAAGAAGCCAATCTCAAGAGGCTACATAGCAAGTGATTCTTATCGCATGGCACATGGTTTGGGGTGCTGATCAGTGGTAGAGAGTTTGCCTTGCACACAAAGGCTCTGGTGCTCTCTCAAACACTACAAAAATAACAACAACAACAACAAGCAAACACACTGAATAAAAAGCCAAAACTTAGGACATTCTGGAAAAGACATAACTGTAGAGATCTTTAAAATAAAATCAGTGTTTGCCAGGGATTTGGGGAAAATAGCGAGAGATAAATAGGTGTAAATGAGAATTTTAGTATAGTGAAGGTATTTCACATGACACTGTAATGGTGAATAAATGTCATTGTATATTTGTCAAAAGCCAAAGAGAGTACAACTTAGAGAGCAGACTCTAATGCAAACTCTGCACTTTAATAATAATTATAATAGTAATATCAATTATAATGAATATTGCGCAAAGGCAGCCAGTGTGGTGAGAGGGGTGAGCAAGAGGAGGGTGATGAGAGATGGTGACAGAGAAGGCTGAATGTCAAGGCTGACTCTGTATGATGAGGATTCAGGGAGTCCCTCAGGCCAGGTGTTATTGCATTGACACTTTATTAAGATGGCTATAAATGTGTCCTATCAAGTGAAAGACACCCTTCCCTAACTCCATTTGTTACCTTGAGCTGGCCTGAGTAACCTCCTGGAATATATTGAACCCAGGTCCCCTTTCTGTGAAACTTGTTCTCATACTTAATCACACACACACACACACACACACACACACACACACACACACTGCATATTACTCTCACTTCCACCACTATAAGGCTCTCTTTCCCTTAAAGAATGCAAAAATGGTACCCAGAAAATCTGGTTCCTACATCTCTTATGTATGAGTGAATTTGGATTCCGTCTTCTGTGGCCATTTTCTGCCATATTTTTTAAAACCAACTGTAAAAAAATCTGATTAATAAACAATAGAAAGGAATTAATTAGACCGGATTGGGATAGGAAGGTCTAATAAACTCAGGTATTCCCTGAGACACTATAAGCAACAGAAGGTTTCCTAATTTCCGGATACATTCCAACCATAATCATATCATCTTGATGGTAAGAAGAAATCATGAAGGAATGATAATAAATGTATGCAGAAGACAAATGCAATGATATCTTTTTTTTAGATCAAGATATTTACAGATTGAACATTTCAAGATTAAAAAAAGAGAATAAAACAAAAAGTTTTAAAACAATTAAATATACAAAAAAGCCACAAAAGTTATGCATTACTTATATAAGAAAGCAGAGAACTTGGGCTTTTTTTGGTGCTCATCCCATATTTATTTTACCAAGTAGTTTTTTATATGATCCAATAGAAGATAAGGCAGCCCCTGTTTCCTCTCTCCTTTTTATTTTAATTGCAACTTTCATGTATCATTATCATTTTCATGTATCATTTTACTAATATCTATAAACCTTATGTCCTTTATTCCATGCTAGACTACAAGATCAATTTGCTATGTTAATCCAACCTTATCTATATCTATATTAACCTACTTGCTTATAGTGATCAGGCCACACCATAACATAACCTCCTTTTTGACAAATTGAGCAGGCACATTCCAGTACTGGATCTGTTCCTCTTCCAGTGGACAAAGACCTCCCTAAACCATATTATGTAAAATTCTATATACACCTATTGTGTCTATATCCTTCAAAACTGATAACATTTTTTTTGTATATTTATCCTTGAAGACAGTAAACATGCACATGATGGATCCATTGTTCTCTCTATTCTCCAGGATGAGAGGGAATTCAACAATTTTGTTAACACTTGTATTTTTACAAAAAACTTTGTAAAGATATGCACACTATGTACAAAATAGTAAAGAAGTTTTCCAATAAACATCATGGAAGGGGAAGACATCAGGTTAATACAGTGCTTCAATGTCCACCAACAGATGAATGGATAAAGAAAATGTGGTATATATACACACAAGAAAGTATTATTCAGCCATAAAGAAGAATAAAATACTGTCATTTGCAGCAAAATGAATGAAGCTGGAGGATACCATACTGAGAAAAATAAACCAGACAAATTAAGGCAAGTGACAAGTATTGGGTCCTCCTTCTCATATATATATAAACTAAAAAAAATGTTCTTTTTAGTTATACATGACAGTATAGTGTATTTCAATATATTATACATACATGGAGGATAACTTCCCATTCTTGCTGTTGTACATGATATGGAGTTTCACTGGTGTTGTATTCATAAATGAACATAGGAAAGTTATATCCAATTCATTCTACTGTCTGCTATTCCCATTCCCCCTTCAATCTTTTTATTCCTCTTTGTCTAATCCAATGAATTCCTATTCTTCCAGGCCCACACTTATTGTGAGTTAGCATCCACATATCAGAGAGAAATTTTGACCATTGGTTTTTTTGGATTAATTTATTTAATTTAACCTGATAGTTTCCAGTTTCATCAGTTTATTGGCAAATGCCATAATTTCATTTTTCTTTGTGGCTAAGTATTATTCGATTGTGTATATATACCTTATTTTTTTATTCATTCATCTATTAAAGGGTACCTAGGTTGGTTCCATATCTTAGCTATTGTGAATTAAGCTGCTACAAGCATTGATGTGGCTACATCACTGTAGTATGATGATCTTGAGTGCTTTGGGTATAAACCTAGGAATGGTTTATATCCATTGTGTGCATGATTACTGTCTTCAAGGATAAATATACAAAAAATGTTATCAGTTTTGAAGGATAGAGATATCATGGTGTATACAGAATTTTACAGAATATGGTCTAGGGAGGTCTTTGTCCACTGGAAGAAGAACAGATCCAGTACTGGAATCTGCCTGCTGGACTGAGTCAAATGGTGGTTCCATTCCAGGAAAGATCTCCCATGTCTTTGAATAGGCAGAATTAATATTGTCCAAATGGTCATACTATGAAAAGTGAAATAAATATTTGATGCAATTCCTATTAAAATTACAATGATATTCTTCATAGAAATAGAAAAAACAGTCATGAAATTCATTTGCAAAAATAAGAGGCCCAGAATAGCCAAAGTAATCCTTAGCAATAACAGTGAAGCAGGAGGCATCATAATAGCAGACCTTAAGTTATTCTACAGAGCTATAGTAATAAAAAAGAGCATGGTATTAGCATGAAGACAATGGTACATAATAGAAGACCCAGAGACAATTCCACATAAATACAGTTATCTTATACTAGAAAAAAGGCACAACAAACATATTTTGGAGAAAAGGTACCTCTTCAACAAAAGGTGCTTGGAAAACTGGAAATCCATATGTAGCAAAATGAAATTAAACCCCTATCTCTAATTCTGTACAAAACTCAACCCAAAGTGGATCAAGGACTTAGGCATTAGTCCAGAGACCCTGCACCTGCTAGAAGTAAAATCAGGCCCAAATCTCTACCATATCAGCCTAGGAACCAAATTTCTCTACAATACCCCTAAAGCACAAGAAATAAAATCAAGAATCAATAAAAGGGATGGTGTCAAACTAAAAAAAATGGTCATAGAAGAAGGATTCCCAGGACTGGGGAGAGTGCAGGAGGCAAGGTGAAGAGAGCACTGGTGGAAGAAGTGTGGCTAGGCATGCTCAATGCACAATGTATGCCTGTGTGGGAATGTTACAGTGAACCTCCCTAATGTGCATGATTGACATGTGTTAAGAATAATAATTTTGAAATAAAATGAATGAAGAATTGACCATTGGTAGTTCATTAGCTTAAATGAGTCTTTTTATGTTGTATACATAGATCAAAACATCACATTTATCCCATAAATACACACATCTTATTTTTTAAAAATATAAGGGACTAAACCTGCACTGTATTGTAAAAAAATATATTTTTAACTGAATCTGCAGAAAACAACATATAATTCTACCTGTGGACAAACCATCTTAAAACTTAGGAAAGAAACTCAGAAGAAAGAAGATAGACATCTATGTAACATAGAAGATGTTTAAAATTATGGACAGAATTATTTTTTTCAAAAGACTACAGAAGAATAACAATCTGTAAATATCTGTTGAGAAATTCTGAAGACTGGATTAAAACAGGTATATAGAAATAATCAGCCAATAAAAATAGTGACCAGGTTTTTGGATATTTGCTCCAAATCAGTAGAAGTTTAAGAAAACAACTAAATTGTCTTTCAAACTTTCTGGACTGGAAAAATTTTTTTTAAAACCTGTCACATTACTAGATTGGAATTTTTTAAATAGTTACCCAAGGTGGATGCTAAATTTGCTAGAAACATCAGAAGGTTTTTGGGAAAACATCTGGAGATGGTTATAAATTTGGAAAATATAGATTTTTTTTTAACTTGGAACTTCTCAGCCTCAGCACTGCTGAGATTCAGGGCCAGATTTCCATGTGGTGGGCAGCATCCCCTGTGCTCCAAACCCCCTCCCCAGTGTGCAGGAGATTCCTCTGGAAGTCAAGAGAGCTTACAGAAAAGTAGTAATAAAAATGATTCATTTGACTTCTAACCTGGTCACAAGGGAAGAGAAAAATCACAAGAATTGTTTTCTTTCTGCCCAGACCAGTGCCCAACAGGGAAATCATACTCAGAACTGTAATAACAAGAGATAAATGGGCCTAATGAGCAGATATAGGGAGCTGTAAATATCTCTTCTGCTTGAGGGACAATAGTCCCTCAGTGTGTGCAACCTGGGGATGGACAAGACCTGGTGGTTGCTTTTGATGTCCTAAATCTGGTATGGCCACCAATACTTCACTTCTTCCTTCTGTATTCTTTGGGGACAGAGCTTCTGTCTCCATCACCAACCACCCAGGGTAGGACTGAAGCTTCAAACAGAGACCTTCTTCTCAGAAATCCCCATCCAGGTGAGCCTGGGCATCCTAAACAGGAAAGGTTTAGAGAGAACCAAAGTGAGACCACCTAAGATCAAATCCAGCTTAGTCTAGTGACAAGAAATGGCTGTGCCTGTCTGCTTGTTTGACGAATGAATCATCATTAATTTATTCATAGGCTAAAATAAAAATATATATATATGTTAGACTCAGCAACACTGGAATGATTATTCACAGGTCAGTAATGGGAACAGAAGTCCAAATGGTGGACTGTGGAGGGAATGGGAAGTACAGGGCACTGTTACCAAAACTGGGCCATATTCAAGATTTTTGGTTAAGGGGGGAGGAAAATTGAGCAAGCAGGAGGTATATGAAGATTTTGCAAAAATAATTTCTTAATACTGAGAGCATTGGGTATATTTTTGTCATTAAAAATATCTGGTCAATGTGTGGCTTGCTAATTCTGTTTTAGGACCTGTTGATGAATGACCACTCTGCATTTTTTTTTCTCAAATTGAGTTGCTGCATATGCTGATGCAAAGAATGTCTAATAGGTGAAAAGCATACAATTATGAGCTTTTTTTGTAAGTTTTCCCTTTCTCGTGAGGCTGCATATATTGTGGGTTTGTTAGATATGAGGTCTAAAAAAGAGGTCTGTACAAACTCTTTTCTCTTGTGTGGTAGATGTGCAGGTTTTTATTCCAATGGATGATTGGATTCTTTCAAACATAAAAAAGTGGAAGGTTCGTTGGTTGGTTGGTTGGTTGATTGGTTGTTTTTTAGCCAACTTTGCTGTTCACTATTTTGCATTCTTTGTATTTATAGACCTAGTTGGGGAGAATGCATCAACCTTTAACATTTATCACTTTGTCGTGTTGGGAGTTTTCAAACTGCTGTTTTCCAGTCTTTATAAAACACGCAACCTTCTGCAGCAAAGTGTAGCCACACGGCTGTGCTGCAGAACATTAGGACTCGCTCCACCTCTCTAACCATAGCTGGGTACCTGTTCTCCAGCCTCCCTCTGTGTTTCTTCCCTCCCACTTCTGAGCCTCTAAAGATCACTATCCGACTCTCTACTTCTGTGAGGTTGACTTCATGAATTAGAAACCTACTATCCCCAGTGCACCAGTGAATGGACTAACATTTATAATCCCTCTGTTGGCTTCAAGTTCAAGTAGCTACTATTTGATCCATACAATATTTAAAACCTGGTTATCTGATTCTGGAAGTTCCATATTTAATATTATGCATAAAATCCCTTTCTCATTTCATCTTTACTACTGTTATACTTTGTGTATTTCTATTGTCGATTTTCGGTTGAGTCCCTTCTCTCATTTTTGCAATTTGCTGGTGTCTCCCCTCTCTCTCTCAGATAACTTGGGCTTTGCTGCCTCCCTGCTCATTCTGTGCATGAAGAAGAGAAAAGCAAAGCCTGCAAACCTCCAGCACCAAGGACGCCCTCCTTCACCAGAGACTCTGGGGACCCCAAGTGTCGTGAGCATTCCTCATCCCTCACGCCCCTCTCAGCACTCTCTGTTTACTGAGCAGAATATTGGCTTATGTATCCCTAAATCCAGGGCCAAATGGTCATATGATGATTTGCACACCTGTGGGAAGCATACCCTCTGGAATTTGAGGACTCTGTCTCTATTTTAAGGGGAAATATATTCTGATGTTGACAGCTGTCTTGCAATCCATCCTTCTAATCAGTATGGCAGAGACTGAGAAAATATGCAGTAGCATTGACTTAGGATGCACCGTGGGAGGTGGTGGTGGTGTGTGTGTGTGTGTGTGTGTGTGTGTGTGTGTGTCTTGTGGGGAGTGAGCAGTCCTCAGAATGAGGTGGCTTGAAGTTTCATATTCCATAATCTAACTCATCTACAGATGTCCAAATGTGAACCAGATGACAGAAATAAGGAGGGATGTAATTAGTTTGAAGGATGCCTTTGAAACCAGACCAAGTGCAAGGCACAGCATGTGAAAGAGGAGCCCATGCATGATAATGTTTCATCAGCAGTGAGACCACCTCTTCCTCAGCCCCCTGGCATCCTCTCTCATCACACTCCCTGGCTCATCCCCCTCACCACACTGGCTTCCTTTTCAGACTTGAGCACCTGGCACAAGCACCTTTCTCGGGTCTTTGCACTATCTGATCCTCCTGTGGGAGACACATTTCCTCAGTTTACCTATGGATCCTGCCTGTCTGAGGTCTGGGTTCAAATGTTACCCAATTACTGCTCTTGCCTGGCCCCCATAAAATTAGCACCCACCATCCTTCCCTTTCTTCTTGTGGCTTGTTTTTTCTTTAGCATAATTATCTCCATCTGAAAGTTATGTGGCTGTTTCTTTACGTGCTTGTATTTGTCCCCCACCATCAGACTGTAGGAATTCTTGTTTTCCAGCATCTCTACCTATTCCCTAAATGGCCCCAGGAAGGTGGTGGGCTCTAAGTATATGCTTCTCAAATGCCAATGGACTGTCTCCACAGCACTGTAGGAGAGTGACTTCCTGGATAAGGATGGACAGGAGTAAATGCATAAGATGGGGAATCATCCAAAGGGGACCAGGTCCTACATGAAATACACAAACCAATGTCTTGATCATAAAATGCAAATCATGGCATTTCTATGGTTCTAATTATCTATCTGTGAAAATTATATATGTCATTATTCTCCTTAACAGTAGTCACATCCTTCAAACTCAATATATCCCTCCTTATTTCCAGCATTCATCATTTTTCTCTTTCCACCAGATGGAACCCAGAAATAATACACAAATGTCAGAATTTCTACTGCTGGGATTTTCAGAGGACTTGGAACTTCAACCTCTCCTGTTTGGGCTTTTTCTGTCCATGTACCTGGTCACTGTGCTAGGGAACCTGCTCATTATCCTGGCCACCATCTCAGACTCCCACCTGCACACGCCCATGTACTTTTTCCTCTCAATCTTGTCTTTTGTGGACATCTGCTTCACCTCCACAAGCATTCCAAAGATGCTGGTGAACATCCAGACACAGAGCAAGCTCATTACCTACTCAGGCTGCATCACACAGATGTACTTTTTATTGTTTTTTGCAGGGTTAGATGACTTCCTCCTGGCTGTGATGGCCTATGACCGCTTTGTGGCCATCTGTCACCCTTTGCACTATACTGTCATCATGAATCCCAGGCTCTGCATGTTGATGGTGCTGGTGTCCAGCATCATCAGTGCCCTGCATTCCCTGTTACAAAGCTTGATGGTGTTGCGGCTGTCCTTCTGCACAGACATGGAAATCCCACACTTTTTCTGTGAACTGAATCAGGTGGTCCACCGTGCCTGCTCTGACACCTTTCTTAATGACATGGTGATATATTTTGCAGCTGTGCTTCTGGCTATTGGCCCCCTGGCTGGCATCCTTTACTCCTACTCCAAGATAGTGTCCTCCATCCATGCAATCTCATCAGCTCAGGGCAAGTACAAAGCTTTCTCCACCTGTGCATCTCACCTCTCCGTGGTCTCCTTGTTTTATTGCACCTGCATTGGTGTGTACCTCAGTTCTGCTGTGACCCAAAACTCACGCCCAACTGCAACTGCTTCTGTGATGTACATGGTGGTCACCCCCATGCTGAACCCCTTCATCTACAGTCTGAGGAACAAGGACATCAAGAGCTCTCTGAAATCACTCTTAGGGAGGGAGACTCTAAAAGTGCCAGTTGTACTGAGACTAAAGAAGTGCACATGATTGCAGGGCTCAGTCTTTTGGAGACAGTAATTATGATTCTGTGATTAGATTAGGCAAGCGAAATTGCTCCTTCTATGTGTTTCCCGTAATTTCATGTGTTTGATATCAACTTCTCTATATAATTTAATTAACTCATTTTTCCAGAAAGGTAATTTATGTGTCAACTTCCCAATGTATCCTATAGTATTTTATCCTATCTTTAACTTTATGTTTTACGTTTTATTTACACCTAATAATTATACATAGTTATGGGGTACAGAATGGTAATTCAACATATAATAATCAAATCAGGATAATTGGCCTTTCCATCTCCTTATCATATGTGTGTGAGTGTATATGTATGTGTGTGTGCGTGCATGCATGCATGTATATATGTGTACGTGTGTGTGTGTGTGTGTGTGTGTGTTTGGAGCCTTTAAACTCCTCTCCTTTATTTCTCCATAAAACATATAGTAGGTTGTTTCAAACTATAAGGCTTTCCATCTTTTCTGATATGTAAGAGTTTTTTCCTTTGTCATTTTCTTATTTTCCCAACATATTCCCAAACTTGGAAAAGAAGTATTTGGAAATTTCCATTCGTGTCATAATGCAACATGAATTTATTTTTTTCAAGGACTAGTGGGAAATTATTTATTTATAAACTGATTGATTGATTGATTCAGCCAATCATCATTCTATGGCTGAGAAGAAAAAAGTCTGAAAGTAGTAAAAGTATTAATATTCTACTAAAGAAAACTTTATATAATGAAAATAAGAAACAACAGATATCTGGAATCACCATGCTGTCCTTGCATACATAGTTCAATAATAGAAAAACACAAATTTCTTAAGAATAATTTCTTCTGATATGGCATATGGTGTATAATTTTTTCTTAGGTTTTACTATAGGAATATTTGAATTTTACTACATCTATGGGGAAAAATCTACACTTGGTTAACACTTATGTAATTTTATGATACAAGAAAATCTGAGGCTAGTTTTTTTTAAATGCACTTCTATCATGATTTTCTATATAGCTCCCTTAACTACTCTTCCTGAAACACAGACCTTAGCATAATAGCACACTTCAAGGCTGATCATGGAGTTTTATTCCTTGTGAGGGTGCTGTGTTTTTATTGAGCACCAAGTCCACAGGACTTTCCGAAGTCACTGGCAGAAACGATCAACTACGTGTCTCCAAGTGGAGCCGGCACAAAGGAAAAATTAGAACAAGAAGCCCCACCTGATGCATCCTATGACTGAGAGATGACTTTAAACAGGACAAAGCAAGTACTTACATCACACATTTAATATCTTCCATTATAATGTGAAACATTTCTTTTACATATCATAATCTACCTGTTGAAGTTTGAAAGATTGTTGTCCATGTGTGAGGGGCTTGCTCATTAGGCATCAGGCTTAGAGTGACATGTTCATTTTTTAAATTATTGACCTATATTCCTGTTTATGTTTAAAAACACATACACACACACACACACACACACACACACACACACACACTTCTGGTGCTTTCTACAAATATGGCTCCTTGCATTGTTCTTGTCAGCTAAAAGGCAAGTTGAGGCAACAAAACGTGAGAACCAAGTTTATTCAAGCCACAGTGAGGGTGACCACCTGGAGAAACACCTATTCTAGTTGTGCAGAGTCAGTCCCAAAATGGCAGGGGGTGGGGGGTCTGGTTTCATAGATACAAGAAGAACATACATAGACTCAGAGAGCAGAACTGTGGTCATCAGGAGGGACTAGGAGGTTATGGGCTTAGAGATTGAGGAGACACGGGTCAAGGTGCACAGAGCTGTGTAGGCTGAATAAGTCTGGATGTCTGCTGAGGACCACGGTTAATATCACTATACCACACACTGTAACTCTGCTAAGAAATCAGAGTTTGGCTGTGCTGACCACCAAAGATAAAAGGTAACTATTTCAGGTAATAGAATTAGGATTTCTTAACTACTCTGGCCAAATGAATGTGATGGAAGTGAAAGTGTCCCTTGAAGGACTTTGGCATTTTCTGCTGCTCTCTCTTTTGTAGCCCTGCGTCTGCCTGGGAACAAATCCCCACATCCTCACCAACATTTATTATTATTTGTATTCTTGATGATTGCCATTCTAACTGGAGTGAGACAAAACCTCAGTATAGTTTTGATTTGCATTTCCCCTATTAATGGAGATGTTAAAAACGTTTCCCATATTATTGTCTATTTATGTTTCTTTTTTTGAGAAATGTCTGTTAGTACATTTGCCCACCAGACATTTAATGAATATCTAAATATTAGCATAACATGACTTTCAGATTTAAGTTGCTGACTACATAATAAGGGGGAAAATATTTGCCAGCTACTTCTCTGACAGGGAGTTAATGCCCGCAATATATAAAGACGTAAAAAAAAAAAAACTCTACACAAAAAAATAATAATAATAACTCAATCAATAAATGGGCAAAAGAACTAAACAGAACTTTCTCCAAATAAGTAACACAAATGATCAACAAATATATGAAAAAAAATTCAACATCTCTAGCAACCAGGGAAATGCAAATCAAAATTACACTAATATTTCATCTCATTCTAGCCAGAATGGCAATCATCAAGAATACAAACAAAAACAAATGTTGGCAAGGACGTGGAGAAAAATTTACACTCATACATTGATGGTGGGACTGCAAATTGGTACACAACCACTCTGAGAAGCAGTGTGGAGATTCCTCAGAAAATTAGAAATGGAACCACCATATGATCCAACTAGTATTTATCCAAAAGAACTAAAATCAGCATAACATAGTGATACAGCCATGTCAATGTTTATAGCAGTACAATTCACAATAGTCAAATTATGGGGTCAACCCAGATGCCTGTCAAGATGAATGGATCAAGAAAATGTGGAAGATACACACAATTATTCTTCCATAAAGGTTAATAAAGGTATTTGCCAGTAAGTGGATGGAAATGGAGAAAATCATGCTAAGTGAAATAAGCCATATTCAGAAAGTCAAGGGTTGGATGTTTCTCAGGGCCCATTGTTGGAGGAAAGGATCTATGGAAGGGAGCTCAGGTGGCCTGACTATGGCTTCAGACCCCAGCCTACAAACATCCAGCCCTCAAATGTGAGAGAACTCAGACAAGACTGGCAAAGCACCTAGAGTTGACTCATAGATGACCCCAGATCCATGAAGACATCCGTAGAGACCAGAAGACATCCCAACAACAGAAACGCCTATGAGATTAGAAAAGCATTATCTTAAACAGCTTGCCTTATGAATAGCTCTTTATGCAGCAAAAGCTCACTGATACAATGAGGTTATTTAGAATAATTTGATGTTTCTCTTGAGACTTTTTCCTGATATTTGGATATAGCATTCATAATAACCTTTATTTTTATGTTTTTTTCACATAACTGTATAGAAAAAGACTACCATTGAGATTCCCTCCTAAGCAACAGGGAGAGATTGTAAGAACACATATTAAATTTTTTTCAGGCATATCTTGTATGCCTGAACCACATGTTCATCCCCAGAGGCCAGACTGGGCCTCTTAATGAATGTCTCAGATGAGTTGTCCTTTTACCATTGGATTTAAGTGAATTTAGTGCACAATATATAGAGAGAAATTCATGATAAACAATGTTCAGCTTATCTATTCACCTGCATTTTAATGACTATGGCAAAAATAGGAGGAGGAGTTATTTTGATTTTTAGTGATGAAAGGAGTTATATTTGTAGACAGTACAAATATGCCTAGAATTTTTTAAGCATAGATGAAAATGTGAGCCAATGAAATAAGAAAATCACACCAATTCCTTCAGGATAACAAATAAACCCCATGGTGCAGAGATGAAGCTTCCACACTTCAACACTGGCTGTGTGGATGGATGCAGCTTGACAGCACCACAGCCATATTGAGTTGTAATCTCCATGGCTGCTCCAGGGTAAGCCTGGTTGGATTTTTCTGCCTAGTTGTCAAGGAAACTATAAATAAACATGATTATTAGAGTGGTACATGGAGTTTTACAATAGGAACTGGCTCAAGGATGCACCCGATTCTTAGCTTAAGCTAAACCAGGTACATTCTGGCTCAGGTGAAGTCATTGTCCTAACCACTAAATATGCTCCTTCTTCTGACCCAAATTACAGGGATCCACATCGTCTTGCTGTGGCCCAGGAACATGCTCCTGCCAGTATGTTTCCAATAAATTATACCCTGTGTGATCTGGATCTCTCTGCCTCTCTTTCTTCAATCTCACAGCACATTGGGGCTAGTTTTCATACACAGGGGCCAGTTTTTTAACAAAACAATATACATCACCAAAAATAAATCTTTCAGAGTAGTTCAGTGTATCATTGAACATTTTGCTCTATACCATTTAAGGTCATCCCAGGTTCTAAGCCCATATTAAGTCAACCAGTAAGTGAAAATTTGTCTTCAAGTGTACATTGCATTTGGAACATTTATTTGATAAATATTCTTTGCCTTTCACCACTATGATGGTACCATAGGATGCACTATGGACTCTGATATGAATAAGAAATAACACTATGATGAGGAAAATAAAATACCATAATGCTGTGAGATCTATTAGTGTGTTCAGATCTGTGCTAGCAGAGAGAGTAGTTACTGTACAGACTGCGCAAGGAATAAAGAAAGTAAAAGTAAAAAACTGTAGTTTCAGATTGTCTCCTATTATAAAGTTATACAAATGACCTCGACTACTTAGTGTAGCTTATACCACCTTAGTATAATTCATCATTATATCAGTCAAATAGAAGTCTCAAATATTTTTCTAATATAATCTGTTAAAAATTTGGGGAAAGTAAGAAAATGACCAAAGGAAAAAGCCATTGAATAGCAGAAATCTTAAGTAAATGGAATTATTTAAAACACACAAAGAAGTTGAAATCAAAGAAACCAAAACATTAGGAATTAAATGGAAGGAGAAAGACCTACTTCCATGGTCTAATTATAAAATCACAATTACTACCTTTGGGGACTAGAGCCCTGCAATT